CCCCCCCCCCCCTTCTCACAGCTCCTTTGCAGCCGAAAAGGCACTTTATCTTGAAAGCTTTTTCTGACTCCCACCTCTGCCAAGTCTAAGTACCCCCGCATGACCCCACAGTGCCCTTCACTTCCTGTAAAACTACTAACTTGCATTTATTGAGCTCTGGCTGTACCAGATCCTCTTCCAGCCACAGTACACCATCCCTCACACTCACCCATGAGGTTGGGGCTATTATCCCACTTCACAGATGTGGAAACTGAGGCTTTCATGACTTTGCAACAGCCTGTCTCCCCTGCCCCAACTAGAGCCCATAAGTGGGAGGGACTGGTTCGCTTCCATCCCAGGGCCCACTGAGCCTGATGTGGTGGACACAATGGACAGGTAGTGGGGGACAGGAGGACAGGTGGGAAGGTGGGTGGGGGGTGCCCAGGCTACCTGCTGGGCGTCCCCTTCTGTGTAGGGCAGCTTGGTGGACACGTGAAACATGATCTCCTTGTTGCGGAAGTTGCAGTACACAGACTCGGTCCCCGTCTGCCCGTGGGTCACGTCCAGGCCTCCTCGGAACCTGCCCCAGGCCCCCCCAGGCCACGGCTCAGTCTCCAGCCCCGGCCAGGCCTCCATGGGGCCAGGATGGGGGCTCCCTCCCTGCCCAGGGCATGGGTCGGATTATACTCTGCTTACCCCATCCTAATGCTCACCCCTTAAAGTCCTGCAGTTTGACCTTCTGGCCAAGAAATTCGAGGAACTCCACGAAGGCAGGACTTTCCTCATTGGTACTGAAGAGCTCCTCCTCGGAGGTCTGGGGACACACAGAGGGCAGAGGTCATGGAGCTGGAGCTCCGGAGCAGCCCCTTCCCCTACCCCAGAGAAGGCTGGAAGGAGGACCTCTGGCAACCCTAGAAAACTGAGTCCCTGGGGAGGTGCTCTCCCTGGGAAAGGTCTGAGGTCCCAGGTACACGGCCAGGTGGGTGGGGGGAGCAGGGAGGAGGTGAGCACACCTGCCCAAGCTTCTGATAAATGACTCCAAACTTGAAGTTATTGCTGATAACGTGTTCATCAAAGGTGGCGATGAGCCGGGAAGCCTGGGGGGAGAGGACAATGGGAGAAACAGACTGCTTTTCAAGTTGTAGTTCATTGCTCTTCCTACAGGCCAAGCACTGTGCCTGGCATGCCACGTGCATCATCTCATTTAATCTTCAGAACAAGCCCAGGAGGGAGACATTCCTGCTGTTTCCATTTTATAGATGAAGAAACCAAGGTTCAGGGCTTAAGTAACTTGTCTAAGGCCAACAGCTTGAAGGCAGAGTTGGGACCTGAACTCAGTTCTGTTGGATTCCAAAGCTCAAGCTCATTGCTCCTGAGTTCTGCCTATGAGCCCTGAGCCCTACTCCACTCTGTAACACCCAGCTCCCTCCGTGGCTCCTCTGCAAACCCACCTCATCCTTCTAGAACAGGCCAAGTCCCACCCATTTGCTGTGGGACCTTGAGCTGGCTCCCTCCTCACCTTGGGCCTCAGTTTCCTCTTCTGTAACAGAGATGAAATCTAATTTCTGAGGCCCCTTCCTTCAGGGACCTTTTCTGGACCATACCACCCCTCAGGGACTGTATGTTGCTCTAGAATTCAGTCAGAGCTATAAGGGTTTACTTTACATGTCTTTCAAGGCCCATTTCTTTCAGGAAGGCCCCTGGCTTGTTGAAGACAGATGCCCCTACCCTTTCCCCACATTGTCGCAGTGCCTGGAAATGCAGCTGCTGTCTGTAGGGCAGGAGATGAAGGTGCCTGTGTTATTCTCTCACCAGGTCCCCTCTGGGATCAGAGGCAAGGCTAGTGAAGTCCCCTTGCTCAGGAGCACCAGTTGCCCTTGGGAGGGTCCCCAAATTACACTGAGAGTTTCCAGAAGTAAGGCAAGCTTCCAAGGCTGCCAACACTAGGTGAAAATGCAGACCTTTATTATCTGCTGTGCATCCCTGGGTAAGACACAGAACTTCTTCTGTAAACTGTGGACTTTACAGATTATGTGAGGATTAAATGAGAAACTTAGGAAGAATGCCCTGCACACAGCTGGTACCAATAAATGCTCAGTGCCCTGGTTATCCACCCACTCTCAGTGAGCAGCGCCCAGATTCAGCCATACCTTGGGGTAGAGCACAGGATAGAATCGGTCCACATTCACATCTTCACACACCAGCTGCAGGAGGAGACAAGGGGGTGCCTAAAGGTGGGGCCGGGAGGAGGGGGTGGGGCGTCTGGGCCTGTCAGGCCAAGGCCGGGGGAGGCGCAGGGCAGAAAGGAGAACAACAGCCAAGGCTGAAGCAGGACTATGGGCTCACTGCTGCTCAGAATGGGGTGCAGAGAACCAGGGTCCCCTGTTTCCGGAAGTGCTCTAAAACAGTGCCAAAACACACAGGCAGGGGACAGGGCCCCGGCACAGGGACCTCAGAGACGGGGCTGCAGGGCACAAGGCTAAGATGTGGAGCTGAAGATGGGCATGTGCTGAGGCCACGCTGCAGCCCCCAAACTGTGTGCCCACCCGGGATGTCCAAAGGGAGCCCAGCATAAAGGAGAGGAGGCCTCACCTTTGCCATCTGGACCACGTTGGGGAACTCGGTGAGGCAGGAGATGGGGATGACATCATGGTATGTCCGGCACTTGGTCCTGGGAGGAGAAAGCCCACAGTGAAGGGCTAAGCAGCAGGAAGGAAGATGGGAGCCCCTCCACACAAAGTAAGACCCCAGGGTGGAACAGTGGTGATAATGGGGCCAGGCCTGGCGTGGGCACTAACATGCTGTGCAACCTTGGGCAAATCCTTGGCCCTCTCTGGGCCTCAATTAGAAGAGCGGATAAAATGAGAGATTTCTCAGATTATAAGACCACAGCCCTTCCTGCTCCCACAAGGCCCCTCACCCCACCCTCACCTGAGCAGCAGCCGCAGGTGCTCCTGGTCCCCGATGACATCATACTTGAGAGAGAAGACAAGGTGGCCCAGGGCAGTGTCCAGTGAGTAGTAATTGAAATGCTCCTGTGGGGGGAGGTGAGGGCCAGGGGAGTGGGTGAGGCTTAGCGTGGGGTTTCTGGAAACCAGACCAGAAAGCCAACTCACTCCTCGATAGGGTCCTTCACCAAGCAGCAGGTGTCCTGGCTAACAGTGGACTGCACCAGACAGACCCACATTCAATCCCACTCTGCCATTTGCCAGCTGGGGAGCCTAATAAGGTCACCTAAACTCTGTGCCTCAGTTTCCTAGTCTATGAAACAGAAAGGAGGCCACCTACCTGTGGGATGGTGGCAGGGACTGAAAGGAATGCTGTGCTGGGCACAGAGTAGGTGTTCAGTGAATGTTTATGGGAACCCCGGCTCTCTGTGCTCTCACCAAAGTCAGGGTCACATTTGTATCTCCACGTATATGTCCCAGCCCTGCCCTTCTCAGCCCTGAGCACACAGTAGGGGCTCAATAAAAGTATGTTGACTGACTGATTGCTCAACCTGTGGCCCCTGAAGCCAGAGCCCGTGAGAAACAGGAAGTGAAACATCTCCTGAACACATTGGGCGGCTGACGGAGCAGGTTCCCACCCTCCTGCCTCACCGGGCGAAGCTGCAGGGTGGGAAGAAATGGAAGAAATATCCCAGAGGGCACAAGGGGAAACTGCTGCAGGGACAGTTCCCCCAGAAAAGAGCCCAGGGCTGGTACCTCCAGGTGGGGAACTCCCAAAGCCAAGGGCCAGGAGTGCTGGGAGATTACTCCCCAGCCTGGCCCTTGCTCCCCCTGTCAGCCCCAACTCTGGGAGTGGGGCCAGCTCCCCAGCCACACCCACCCCAGGAGTCATCCTGGAAGTAAGTCCTGTTTAAACATGAACACCTGTGCTCAGAGGGCAGGAGAAAGAGGCAGAGGCCAGGGATGTGCCCACAGATCCACAGATCAGGGACAGTCACAATCTGAGTGCACCTGGGACACAGAGTCCCCCTCAGCCCTGCCGGGGCACAGAGTGATGGAAAGCTCTAAATGCTTCGCACCATCTGTGGGCAGGGAGGGGCAGGCACTTGGCAAGGAGGGTGCACCAAGTCCTCAGAGTGAGGAGTTGCCCCAGGCCCTGTGCCTGAGCTCAGGGAGCCCAAGGGGTACACTGGGAGAGTGGGCTCAGGGTCCCAGGGAGTCAATGTCCAAAGTCACCTCAGCCTCTTCCCTCTGCCAGAACAGGCCCCAGTGCTTCCCCAGTCCTCCCACCTGAAGTCAGGAGGTGGCCATGGCTCTCTACCAGCCCCCAGGGTCCCCTTCTTTCTGTGTTGCTAACCTGACTGTGGTCATCACGCCCAACTGTACCTCCTTGGATCCTTCTGTGCTCAAGGCACTTGTTCTGTCTCTTGTAACTCCTTAGCAAACTTCTCTGAGTGCCCAACTATGTGGTAGGCCCACACGGTCCCCAGATCCCACACCTGCCAGATCCAGCTGAGAGCCTCTAGACAGTGGGTGCCAGGATGCAGGTCTCTCAGCTGGAGGTGGAATCCCATGCCCTGTACTGGGTTTGTCCCCAGGCAAAGGCTCCTGAACCCGGACCTGCAGATTTAGTCTCAGTTACAGTGGACTCCACCCCTTTTCCCCCAACCTTAGCACCAATTCCCCCCAGGGTCAGGCCAATGCCTTGGGCTCAGACTGAGGTGACACAGCTCCCAACTCCCCAAGGAATCACCCCTCCTCCCAACACGCACGTGCATGCACATGCACACACATGCCTAGCAACATGACCCCTCCCACAGCATGTCCTCTTTAAAATATATTTGACATATAACTGTATAAATGTAAGATGTACAAGTTACTTTGACACATTCGTATACTGTAATATGATTGCCGAGTAGCGGTATTTATCACATGACATAATCACAGTACAATACTGTGACATTCCCATGGCGTGTCTTGATGGAAGGTCAGCCAGAGCTCAGTCCAACTCTTAGCACAGTAACTATGTGACTTTGACCGAGTCGCTTTACCTCTCGGGCCTGTTTCCTCTTCTGAAAAGCTAGGACAACCCTGATCTCACAGAGTAATTAAGATGTAATAATAACAGCTAACATTTATTGAGTACTTACTATGTGCCAGGTGTGGTTTTCTATGCTTTAATGTACTTTTATTATCTCATATTCATAGATGAGGAAACAGGCTTAGGAAGGTTCAATAACTTGCCCAAGGTCATCCCATTAGTAAATGGAAGAGCCAAGATTCCCACCCAGGCCTCGACCCTAGAGCCCAAGCTACAATCTGTCGCCTCAGAGGAAACTGCTGTGGAGACAGCACCCGGTGTGGAGCCTGGCACATACAGGGTCCTAGCATGGGACCTCTCCTCCAGCTCCCACAAACTTACCCAATAACTCTTGCCTGGAACACCACTAGGTGACACTCTGACAAGCTGGGACCAGGCAGGGTCCCTGCTCTGGGGCTGGTGATGGGGTGGGGGCTGCATCAACCCAGGTCACACCATGACATTACTGTGTCTCCCCATCCCCCACTCCCCACCTCAAGCTGCCTGAGGGGGGCGCCTGGGTACGTTTTGTTTGCTGCTACGTACCTGGTGCCTTGAACAGGGCCAGGCACACAGCTGGGGCTCATTATCTGCGAACCCTGACTGAGCCTTACTCTGCGCTAGATGCCATTCTAAACACTTTACAAGCACCCTGTCATTCAAGCCTTGCAGCAACTTTATGAGGTGGGTATCACCTCATCTCCATTTTTACAGCCAAGGAAACAGGCACAGAGAGGGTAAGCCACTTGCCCGATATCCCGTGCATTAAGTGGCAGAGCCAGGATGCAGACCCTGGTGGCCTCTCTGCTGCTGACCACTATGCCACAAGACTGCCTTTTGCAATAAATGTTTGTTGAATGAATGAGTGAATCCACCGTGCATGTTCCCTGACACTTGGGGCTCTGGGACTGTCACCCAGCCCCAGCCTAAGGGTTCTCTGCGTCCTAGGCCCAGCCCCCAATACCAGTGGGCCACCCACCTTGCCGAGAAAGTGCTTCCGGTAGATGCGGGCTGTGGGGTTGCACTCCAGCTTCACCTTGGTTGTGGGTGACTGCAGCGACTCTGTCTCTGGGATGCTGGTGATTTCGTGGTTGGTGCCTTCAATCCAGTAGCCCCCAAACTGGGGCAGCAGGATGAGGGGGAAGGGTCCTTCTCGCCCCAAGACCTAAAGGGGGACTCAGCTGAGAGCCACCCACACTGCACCCCACCGGGGACCCCAGGACAACTCCCCAGCTCATATCTAGGAACAATCCAGAGCCTATATGGGTCCCAGACAACATGGAGCCCCAAGTTCCATTCCTAAAGGAAGGGGTGCGCTGGGAGCATGACTTTGGCAGAGAGGCTGCAATGTTGGGCTCAGAAGCCTTGGGTTCAAATGGGCTCTAAAGCCTTTGGCCTATAAGCTGGGTCTCCAGGCCCCACTGTGGTTAGACTCCTCACAGGGAGGAGGGCCGGGCATCCCAGCTTCTGGGAGTGCCTTCCGGGCTGGAAGTGAGGATGGGCTGGGGGAGGGCCCGGCCGGTTACCTCGTGGACGCTTGGGTAGGGAATGTAGTCTTCCTCCGTCTGCAAAACACAAGCAGGACCGGGTCTCGGTGGGGATGGGATCCAAGCCCTTTATGTCCAGCCCCCCCAGGATGCTCCTCTGTCTGGCAGCACCGATGCTGGGAATGTGGATGGGGCTGTGTCCCCATCACCCTGTCTCACAGGTGTGGGGGGCTTGCTTTGGGGTGACCCCACGGGGCAGGGGTCAAAGCGCGTTTAGCTCACTGAGCGCTGCTGGCTTCTTCGGGGCCCGTCCTGCTTGGGGAGGAGCAGCTCACTGCCTCCCAGAAGGAGCCTCCAGGCCGGAGGTTCTCAGTGCATCGGAGCGGCCTGGGAGCTCATTAAGCACAGATGGCTGCGTGCCACCCCAAGTTTCTGATGCCCTAGGTCTGGGCGGGCCCGAGAACTTCCAGCCTCACAAGCTCCGAGGACCCCGTTTTGAAAACCCCGGCCCTGGACAGAGCATCAGGCTTATGCCCATGAACCCCCTTTAATCCTCAGCGCTGCAGCCCTGAGCCCACTCCCCCAGACCTAGCTGCCAGTCTTCTTGGATGGTTGGGGTCCCAAATCATCAATAAGAGAACCATATGCCTACCTGGAGGGGCTATGCAGTCCCCCCCTGAGAACATTCTGAGCCTAAACAAGAGCCTCCTTGAATCTCCTTCAGTCCCTGGCTTCCTGTCAGTCTCCTCATGGGAGGATGGGGCGAGGGGGCAAGCAGGTCACCTCTACCCGCCCTCCCCTTCAGCCTTCCAGGTAGGAGCTACAGGGAGCAGGAGAGCATAAGCCTCCTGGTCCTGGGTTTGAGTCTTCCTACAACGGCTCATCATAACTGGCTTCCAGGAAAACGGTTTACACAGGCGTCATATGAGGGATGGGCTTAGACTCTGAGGGGGGAAGCCTGGAGAGGCAGGGTCTGTTTGCAGTGGTGAGGTGAAGACGGGTGGGGAGGAGCTGGAATGAAGGCGCCAGGCCCATAGCAAGGGAGGGGTCCTCCACCTCTCAGAACCCCTAGACGGCCAGAGCTGGGTACAGGACTACTTCTTGAAAGGGGATGGGTTCTCCTGGGCTGGCTGCTTGGATGGGCAGCTGTGGCAGGACTTCCCAGGCCCCACCCCCACCCGAGGGAGGGAGTCTGCCCCTTTTCCCATCGCCGGCCAGGTCCCCAAGCCCTTTGGAGAGGCTGCTCGGAAGCCCAAAGAAGGGAAGGGAGGTTGCGGCTCAGACCTACTTTGAGGGGTGGTGGGAAGGAGCATCGTTGTTCATCCATCCTGCTTCCCTGCAAAGAGAAGGCAGCACCTCCTGTTACACCCCTCCCTCCCTTCACACCCCTCCCATGCGTGCTGCAGGGCCACCTCCCCGGGGCTCACAGCCCTTCTGGTGTAGAAGGGGAAAGCCCACCGATGTGGGTACTCCCGGGGGCAGGGTGCTGGGTTGCTCAGGCCTCTCTGCAGGGCTGGCTGTCCTGCCGGTAACCTGGGCTGTGGGAGGCCGGAGGCAGCAGGGAGGGGCTGGGGGCTCTGTGCGGGAATGCCTGCCGCTGGGAGTGGGGGCAGGGGTGTGCACGTGCCTGCGTGTGAGTGTGGGGAGCTGGGGAGGGAGGCTATTGCATCTACACAGATACGTGTTGTTAAGAGAGAGAGAGGGAGAGACCCGGAGAGGGAGAGGGAGAGGGAGAGAGGGGGAGAGAAAGAGAAAGAGAGAGGAGGAGGGGAGAGACCCTGTCAGAAAGACTAAGTAAGAGAAGCAGAGAAACAGGAAGGGGCAGGAGAGGGGGTTTGGAGGGAAAACTGACATCAGGGAAAGCTCCTGCGGTTTTTTCAAGTCACCCCAGACTCTGCCCACCTCCCAACACATACCCAAGCCAAAAACAGACAAGGGCTTGGGAGCCCAGGCCTAGGGAGTGGAGGGTGGGCAGGAGTCAGGCAGAAGGGGCGGGGCTGCCTGGCTCGACACCTCCCCCTCCCTGCCTCACAGCCTGTGGCTGCCCTGTGCCCTGGCAACTGTCCCTTCTCCCATTTTACATGGGGGTCCTGCAGAGTCTCTGATGCAGAGTCTTGAGGGGTGGACTGAAGTGGGGACCCCAGCTCTGCTGGGGACCTACACAGGGATGGGAGGTGGGGAGATGCAAGAGGTGCCTGGGCTCGATAGGGAGTTGGGCACTACCAGTCCAGTGTGTGTGTGTGTGTCTGTGTGTGTGCGCATGCGTGTGTATGTGTCCTGACAGAGGGCTCAGGACAACACGCTGACACCATCTCCTCCATGTATGGTCTGCCAAGGGCTCCTGGCCTGTCTTCAGAGAGATGTGGGGCTGGAGATATAGCAAGGACCCCTCACCCCCATCCCAGCCCTGTCTATGGCTCCCAGGAATGGACAGCAGATCCAGCCTCACCTGCATCTTTTCAATCATCTCAAACAGATCTGTGTTCTGCAACAGAGATGGGGGAGAAAGCAAGTCATGTGCCAGCTGATCCTGCTGAGCCCCCAAGGCGTCTGCACCCAACCCATCTGTCCTGGTCCCTCTAGATCTGACCAACCACCTTGGATCTGTCAGCCCAGAGTCTGGGCCCCCATGGGGCAGCACACCCCACTCAGTCCCCTTCCCCAAAGGAGGAGATTGGTGCCTCAGACAGAGGATGTGACCCTTGGGGAGAGAAACAGCTCCCCCATGTAACTACAGGGTTGGCAGTGCCAGGACCAGTCCATGTACCCATCAGAAGAGCCCCAGGTCCCAGCCCCAGAGAGGAGCTTAGCTGGGACTCTCAGGAGGGTCTGTGGTTCCACCCTCACCCCCAAGCAGTGTGGGCTGGGGGCTGTTGGGGGAGAGGATGCTGGATGTTCCACTGGCCCAACACACATGTGTGAGTCCACATGCACCCCTCACCCCTCACAGAGAGCCTCTCCTGAGGCTGCCAGGGCACACGTAGGGTTAATCGGGCATCTGCCAGCTGCCTTGGCAGCTTCAGCCTCTCCATCGCCAACTCCCTGTGAGCCTTCCTGGAAGACGGCATCATTGATGGCTGGTGGGCTGGGGGCTGGGCTGGGAAGCCCCCAGAGTCTCCAGGACGCGCCCCTCCCCCAACCCCTCCTGGCTCCTGCTGCCCAGTGGAGGCATCACCTGAGCTCACACACATGTGCTATGCGATTGTGCACCAGGAAACACATGCTCTTTCTCTCTCTCTTGCTCAAACACACATTCACAGGCCTACACACCAGTATTTAAACAGTCTCACTGTACCAAAGAAAGCAAACACACACAAACCCACGGGGTCTGTGTATACTAATTCTTAGACTCAAAGCTATACGCTAACCCGCAAACACTGGTGTTGGTGTACTAAGTTACACAATAGCACACCTACTCACACATACACAGGTCCATGCACAAGAATCACACACACAAATGCAAACCCACCCCTGTGCAGATGTGCACACCGGCAACTGCACGCGAA